GGTGCGAACTGGTAGGAAACCCACCTCTGTCGATATCCATCTAATTCGCCTCTTCCCTACCACTAGTTCAGGCAGCACTGTATTTTTCTCTGCCATGTATTTGAGAAGAGCAGCTTCTTTGGAACAGAATTAATTGATATGGAAGATAAGAAACAGAAAGTCAGTGACTCTGGACCTTATTGAGTATCAGAAAAGAAATAAAAATGGGGTTGGCCCACTTCTGCCACAATGTTTAAGTACTCAGTTATTCGTAGCTAGCAAAAATATAAGTTATGATCTTGAGCCCCACTGACCAGTGGTGGGATTCAGCCAGTTCGCGCCGCTTCAGGAGAACCGGTTGTTAACTTTCTGAGCAATTTGGTGAACTGTTTGTTGGAAGAAATCATTAGGGCAGAGAACTGGCTGTTAAGTTATTTGAATCCCACCATTGCCACTGATTATGTACAGAAATCCCTTTTGTCTCCCCGTTTCATTACTTAATGCTGTCGTGGAAATGCTGAACTCAGCAACTTTTAAAAAATGGACATGCTGTGTTCCTTTTAACATCATGAGGTCCAAGGGAAGTCTGTATGGTCCTGGGTTCTCCACATCTGCATTTGATTTGCAAGTGCAGAAGATGGGGTTTGGAAATCCCTTAGGTTGGAAATGTCTTCTAGGAGGTCTGTTATGGTGGCATGAACTTCCATGGTCATTGGGGAAATGCCTCCCTGTCTCCATGCTATTCCTAATCCACCAATGGAGATGTCAACTATTTTCCTTTCAAAGAAGAAGTCAGAACATGCACTCACTCATTTTTTTGGAGTCTCCTGAGCTTCTTCCATAGAATCTTGATGAGAATTGTACTAAGGATTGTCTTGGTTCCTCCTAATATGAAGTGTTCTTTTTAGTTAATGCTGTCTATTTATTTCTCTTCAGTATCTTCTCTGTTGAATTATTTTATTACTGGTCATTTCAACCAGGATCTGTTCTTTACAGCATTTTATGAAACCACTGCAATTATTCTTGGAACCTCAGGACCTTGAGAATATTTTTATTAATATTGAGGTAAGATCTTCCTCTGCTTTTGATTAAATTAATTTTCAGGAATTTTGTATCAGCAATCCTACATAAATTTAATGCACCTCTTTATAGTTGGGCTCCAAGATATAGATAGATTTAATTAATTTGGTGCAAGAGCAGGCAAGGCATTGCTATGCAGGCAACCTTGGAGAGATTTCTATGAACATAGGAATTCTCTGGTCTAACAGCTAGACAGAAATGTGCAGTTGACATCCAGTAAATTTGCTTCCAATACAGTTTACAATGCAAACTCCAGAATCAGTTCCCATGTAGAAATCTTGACAATGGCAAAAAAACATGTAGGATTCAGTTCCATTATGACTGATAAAGTTTAGAGTTGACTGATATCGTTCACACCATAAAAGAGCGCTAAGATGTAGAAATGAGGCAAATCAAGTCTGTGGAAACAAATTGATGGTTTTATTAGAGGTTTTACATAAAAACTAAAACAAAGGGAGGGAGGGGAAAGAAAAAAGTGAAAGCAAAACTTTTATGTTATGATTACAAAAACAGAACTCACTTTTCTCTACATTCAGTTTTTTTTTAAATCATCAACAGCACAAATCATAAAGCATATCCTTTGTAAGGTTTCCTAAAAATGCCCTAATTGATTCCTGTATCGAGTCAAGTTTCAATATAAAACTAGTCACTTATTAGGAGCACCATAGGCAAGATCTTTTCATGACCCGTCAAAACCGCGCTCGACTAAAGCGCGCCCGATCAACCCGCGTCGCTGATGTCATCAACAGGGCGACAACAGCCAACGCGGAGAAAGAAGGGCTCTT